CTGCCATACTGAAGATAGACATTCGATTATAGAGACCAGCAAAGCGAAAGAAGAAGCGCTTTGTCCAATTTTCTAGAATCTTGCTTTCTCTAAAATTTATAGACCCTATTTTTGGGCGTCAGCGAGCCCCCCGGTAAAAGCTGACTTGACCCGAAGAACACGTGCTACAGGCGAGAGCAAGATTCGAGAGGAAAGTGATAGGAATAAACATGAGCGATTGAAATATGAGCGATTGATATCTGACCAAGATGGGGGGACTGGGCTACGCTGAAAGAATAGTTTCAACTCGAAAATCAGATGAATGAAGCTGGTTTATCTAATCAGCATACGTTTCCAGACTTGTTAGTAACATCACAAAACAACAGAAAATTAATTAGTAAAATCAGTCTTTTTGATATCAAGAACACTCGGCGCGACTGCAGCGAAGCGCAAAACAGTAAAAGTGTGAAGGAGTCTCCTGTAAAAAGGAACGACAGCACAAGAAGTCTATCAACAAGAATCATTCACTTGCATGAGATCGACACTCCTAAGGCTACGCTTAAAAGAAGATACGCTTTGAGCAGAGAGCACATGAGGAGGTACTCGGTCAAGCCACCTGGACGTTCTATAAAAGAAACTATTAAAAATACGCAAAAAACGCTTTCTGTTGATACGAGGATAATGAATGTGTTGAACATACCCGCTCTAGCAGTAGGTCTAAATATCCAGTACTTACTTGGATTCAGCCTGAGTTCTTTCCGCAAAAGTCGAAATGCAAAAGCAAGATCGTGATACACCGTTTACTTTAGAAAACATTCTTCGCGCTTCTACGTCCTGATGCCGTGTGATGAGAACGACGACACCGACTGACAGTTCAGTGGAGCTCAAGGAGCTGTGCTGTGAGGCGTCGATACATTTTTTCTCATATGCTTTGACTTTTCATGTTTTTGATTACGTAGCTTGATATAAGCTTCGTATAAAACCCCGCATACGTGAGAATTTCTTAAAGGAAACTTAGCATGATACAAGTATTGGCGTGAGAGGAAATTCTACAAGTATCGCTGCGTAATCGTATTTTGGCAGTTTTTAGTTCGCTCTAAGTTTAGAAAGTTTTGAGTGCCGCGAAAAAAGCTTTACTTGAGTTTGACTGTTATTACCTCCATTGCATAAATTTCAGCATTGTATTTTTTTGAGTTTTTGTCCATATAATCTCCATATCAAAGCTTTCACTTTTACAATTATCTCACTTATATTTTGTGTATTGCTCATTTATTCGTGCTTTATTCGTGTATATTTGGATTACGTATTTAGTGAGTAGACGGTTCAATTACCCAAGTTTGAGGTGTGTGTGTGTTCGAGTAAAGACCCGCGTGGCAGTGTTTGGTATTGATATTCCGACAAGTGGTATTCGAAGGCTATAATGCACTAATAACTCTTATCGCCACTAATTTTATCTCCTTTAGTCTATAGAGTAGGCATGCCACGAAAGCTCGATTTTTGAAACCCAGAAAGTTTTGTAATGTGACCAATATGTCTTCACAGCTAGTTGTGTGCGCAGTCACTTAATATCGCTACTATGAGCATCACAACTTCCACGATCGTCATCCTCCAACGAAAAGTGGAGCTCCCTCCACAGTCTTAGGCAACTCGCACCATTTCAAAGGAAGCAGTTAATTTGTGATTATCTGAACAAGAAACCTGGGCATTGTCGCATTCATGCACTTTGCTGTGAGCAACGCCCGTTTGTTGAGATACCTATTCAGTTTAACTTTTCGGCAAAAATGCCTTCCCCAAAACCTGAAAGAAAGTCTCACACTTGTTTTTCAACCTAAACAATCAAACCCTTCTTCTCAACTAGCTTAGTTCGATCCCCTAACAGCAAACATGGCAGGATATTACACTGAAAGTAGCATATCAAATTTTCAACGAAGAACAACAGAATGTTGAATTTTACTAGTGATAAAGACTGTAAGCCAATATAGAAATCATCCCAACGTACGAAAGCTGTATACGGATATCTTCGCGGCTGCAGTCAAGCAAGTTGTAGAACCCTACCATTTTAACTGCAGCGGCATGCGGGGTGTATGTCGAAAAGGAACGTATTCTCGATATCAACCCATATGTCTTCCCTCAACATGACGTGGATTACGTAGACTGATGAGGCGCCGCCTCGCTTAGGGCTCGCGCCACGTTGCGAGCGCATCGCTTGGCGCGACGTGGAGCTCAAAACAACGTGGTGCAGGCTTTTCCACGTCGTTCTTGTGGTCACATCAGGCCGAAGATGCGCATGCAACGTGGCGCAAGCCCGAGGCGAGGCGGCGCCTCATCAATCTACCCTCGATATCATCCCATATGTCTTCCCTCGACATGACGTGGATTACGTGGCTTGATGAGGCGCCACCTCGCCTCGGGCTCGCGCCACGTTGCGAGCGCATCATTTGGCGCGAAGTGGCGCTCACAACGTGGCGCAGGCTTTTCCACGTTCTTCTTGTTGCCACATCACGCCGAAAATGCGCACGCAACGTGGCGCAAGCCAGAGGCGAGGCGGCGCCTCATCAAGCCACGTAATCCACGTCATGTTGAGTGAAGACATATGGGATGATATCGAGGGTACGTAATGCACGTCATGTTGAGGAAAGACACATGGGTTGATATCGATGGTATTCGAGGCACACAGCTATTTAGTTTGACTGATTTTGCCCTGGGTCATGGTTTTGTGCTAGAGCGCGGCAAGCTCCTCGAACTTGCACTTCCATTGTGCATTTCAATCGTTGCTAGACTTCTAATGTGTACTTTAACCATTGCACATCTTCTCCTTTCTTCTAGTGATAGGCTGAACGTGTTTATCCGCAGATATCTGCTAGAAACACTACATTCACAACTTGAACTTGGTATAACAAAAACACAGCCGCAGATCAGATCAATCCAGCCTTACAGTATCCACAATGATCTGACTAAATTCCCTGATTTATCTGGCCAACAGCTAATGTATCCTGCTAGATACCGCAGATGGCGGCCATCATTGCAGGTAGTATGCGATAGTATGCACAATGCGTGGAGCTCAGGTCGCTCACCAGGGAAGGATACCAACATTAGTCGGCGACTGAAGAGGAGATGTACATCAGTAGACGCGCCTTTGAACGCTGATTCCAAATCTGCTTTCGTTTTTTGCGGAATAAGTTTCCGAAAGAAGTTGTGGGCTTTTGAATGTCCAAATGTGTCAGGGTTTAGGTGGCCTAAAATTGGTGAGCTGTGCAAAAACACCGGAAAGTGGAAAATCATTTTTATATTGAGTATATTGTTTGCAAGGAAGGAACAAAGCCAGTGGAAATCGCATAGATGTTGTTCTAGAGTTTTTCGCTGATTTTGGGCCACTCAATGCTTGGCAAATATGGACATTCAAACGCTTATAACTTCTTTCGGAAACTTAATCCGCACAAAAGGAAAGCAGATTTGGAATCAGCGTTCAAAGACGCATCTAATGATATACATCACATCTTCAATTGCCAACTGTTGGTATCCTTCCCTTATCAGCATTGAAATGTCGGAAAAGATCAGTGCACAGCGTAAACGCCATGTTCTTGCTCTGAAGATAGAATGAACCATATCGTAGCCAGAATGACCATACTTACCATCGCTTCCACCATTCGTATAGAGGCGAAGTCGTGGCAGCTCAAAGCGTGGCGGTTTTTGATAGCGAAAGAGTACGAAAAACAATGCTATAACGGAGAACTTGCAAAAAGTAGTAGTGCTGCGCAAATTTTCAAAAGTAAAATTTACATCTACTTTGTCGTAATTCGATGAAAAGCTTCTCCTATTTTCTTCTGGATAAGAGCTTGTACAGAAGCCATATTTGGAAAGGAGAGTAAACCATATTACTCCAGTGTCACAAACAGGTTTTAGGCTTATTACAGACAGCAAAACTGGAGCAGATTCTGGAATCTGAAACTGAGTTAAATGAGTCAGGCGTAAGGCAAAACTCAGCCAGCTACCCTTTTGAGTAGTGCTTACCCTTTCAACTTTGACAACTGGGAAGCTTTTTCAACCAAGTTTTATCCCTTTCGTTAGCACATACCTCTACTCATATTCTTAGAATTTATAGGCGTATGAGCTGACTTTGACCTGTTCGGCTTTGGTCTATGGATTGAAACCTCTTAAGTGGAGAGCGCACTACTTGAATTTTCTTGAAAGCACTCCTGGCTCCACTTGAAAACGATATGTAGATTATTCGGCGATTATGGCGATTCGTAGCACGCAAAGACTGCGGACATATCGGCTCTCCCTGATCGAGCGCTCTTTCGTTCCTCTTACCATCTGCCGTCCCTCCCATGCGCGAACTATCTTGTCCGAACGCAACGGCGCCCAGTCTTTGCGTATCATGAATCGTGTATAATCAAATTTCTAGCATGAGTCAACAAACGTCATCACTTTGTTATGAATATAAACAGACTACTTTCGCCTCTGAAACTTACTCAAACATGTTGGAACGCTTTGCAGATGCTAGGAAGTACAGAAAGCGTAGCAGTTAAGGGTTTTAGCGTTCATGATATACTTTTGGGTTGGTTACGGAAATCACATCCATTCCACGTGGTGGGATTCTTTAGTGACTTATGGTAGGTGTACGGTGAGGACTGAAAATTGTGGAGATGTCTGAGACTCCTGTCGACCCTCCACTCCCTTATACGAATCTCACCACCTCAAGACAGGCACGACTGGTGCAAGGGAGTGTTTCAGGACGTCCACTGTTACACCCCAACCTGCCCGGACACTGCCTTTGATGACAATGTTCGTTTACAACTGCTGGTATGTCATAAGGCTCAGCACATCCCTGAACAAGCCATTTTTCAGATTCCTACTATTTCAGACCAAAGCGTCTCTGATGGCCGGACTTAAGCATCCAGCGTGTTATAAATCCGGTCGAAATAGCCTTGCTCGAGCAATGGAAACCAAGATTGAAAATGAAGTTCTCGACGCTTATTTGACGAGCTATGCATGTTTGACTTTATCATGGAGAGGCCTTCTAAAAGCACTGAGATGAACATTTACGCAGAATAAAAACAACAACGATGCATCAACAATTAACACTGCGCGGAGATGATGAGCTGCTCATCGCTGAATGGAGCAAAAACTCCGACAGAAACATTGTGACTACAATATTCAATAAACAAAACACCGCAGCATTATTAGAATTCAAGATCAATGGTAAAGACTCTGTCGAGGTGCACGTGGGCGTCGTCAAAGTATAGCGGTGCAGATCATCATAAGAAGCAAGGTGCATGAAAGCCTGCTTACTGCATTCCTGGTAGTCCCGGCATCTGTCCACCTGAGGGAGCTCTCACGTTCTTGACTGTTTGGTCAATTGACAAAACTAGGCACACAGCTTCAGTGGCAGCAATAATGGCATTCTAAAAAAATATAGAGACTGCAGTGAAAACAGATAAAGATAAAAAACGCTAAAATTAGCACAATAACTAAGATGAAGCACCTTTTTAACAAGACTTGGCTCCCAAATACATGCTGCGAGGTTGTCACCAACTTCCTCTGTGTGGATATCAACACCAGCCCAAACCTCGCCTGAAATTTCTCCCTTTATTTCCTGGAAAGTTCCTGCATAACAACAAATCCTGCCTATCGAATGTCTATGACGAAGCTTGTTCAAAATATCAATTGCATCGATGCCAGCGTTGTAGCAAAGTTGTTGTGGGATAATCTACAATGTGTGCAGTTTTTACGATGAACACAAGAAAAAATGAGGAAACTCACTTCAAAGCTTCGTGCGTAAGCGCTCCAGAAGAACTGTTCCTTTCCGGCGATCGTTTTGGCCTTAGCGCGGAGATGACGCGACAGCTCCATTTCAATTGCTCCACCACCTATACGGATAAAAATTAGTTATTTTTTCTCATTATATACAAAGGAAATAAAGAAGAAGAGATAAAAGTCAAAAATAGAAATAAAACCATAAAGGGATATGAAAATGAAGTCTCACCAGCCACGATAGAATCGTTCTTCTTCGCACGGCGTACGATCATGATAGCATCATGAAGAGATCGCTCTGTCTCAGCAATAAATTGCTCAGCACCTCCGCGAAGAAGAAGAGTGCAAGCTTGAGCACGGGCGCATCCTTCGAAGAAGTTGTAACTGAAGGTATGCGACTGTATTTAAAAAATTAGGTAAACCGCCTGTGATAAGAAAGAAGAAGTTGGTGTGCTACAGTGAAATGATTTCCTAGGTCAGGTTTGCGAATAGGGAAAGATAGATTTTAAAAAGGAAGTTTATTCTGTTTCAGTTTATTATTACGGAAGTTTATTCGTTTATAGTAAGCTGGCAAGCCAATCTCAATCTGAGTTTACAAACACACTTTTGTTTGCAAAAGACCTTGCCTCGCTTGTTGAACTAACTCCGGGATTGTAAACAGTGAAGAAAGTAGCTTTCGCTCACCGTTCACTTCCAACTTGCTGTTCGTAAAATTTCTCACACTTTCCTAACACAGTTGCATCAATCTGAGAGACAGTAGTAAGTATGGAACCGCCGCAAGCTGCCATAACACGATCCAGATCTTCCTGAGGGATACGACCTGCACAGAACATGTCCCTAAAGCAACCTAGATATAGATCGGAAAGAAAGAAAAGAAGCACAAACACAACAACTTCAAACCAAAAATATAAAACATTACTGCAATGAATGCTGAGCGAAAAAGTGACGCACCTATCAGCAAACCACTGAGTAGCGACGTCTCCTATAGGCAGCTTTGATAATACAATTTTGGCACCACTCTCATGGATTTTCTCCAGTTTATTGTACAGGATGTCCCATTCAGCATCAACAACCTTCAAAAACAAACGTGCTACAACATCAAAAACCAGCCATAAATAAGCCTTATTTGAGGCAAGAAAGGGAAAAATCTAAAGAATGTTATGATGAGCTGTTAAGCCTACCGCTTGGAACTCCTCCACTGTTGTTAAGCGCATTTCTGCGTTATCTTTTTCGGCCTTCAATTCCAACTCGATGTTCAATAACGCGACAAGAGGATTCTCATAATGCTTAGGTTGCATTTCAAATCCGGCATAGCTAAAGGCCTTTTGGAACGCAATACCCTGCACGAGACGAGATTCCTAAACACGCTTATTTATGCAGAGAATAACGGGCCAAGCAAAAATGTTATGCGTACATTTAAATTGCCACCGGCAACTTTCTTGATACCTATCATGTTTAACGGCAGAGATTCGTCAAGCATGTTAACAGCATCCACGACCATTTCAGCGAAAAATCGGCGTTCTTGACTAACCTGAATCATACTTTCAAAGAAGAAATTTTCTCAGAACACAGGAGATTCTGGAAAAGTAGTCAAAATTAGCTCACCAGTTTACTGCTCAGTGTGGTCATGGCACATTTGACAAGCATATCCCTCAACTCCTTGTCGCCTTCGATTTTGATAGCCAACTGGTCAAGATAAGCAAGCGCCTCAAAAAGGCATATCAATGACATGAAGGCAGCAAAGATTAAAGCTCACCTCCTCACTAGCTGCGCTCAGAGCTCGGATGATCAGCTGGGGATGAACACCATCTTCAATGAATGGCTTCATGCGCTTGAGTATTTCAGCAGCTAGCACAACCACTGCAAATAAGAAAATCTTAAAAGGCCCTTCAACCTTGAAAAAAATATTACCCGATGTTGTTCCATCTCCAACTTCGGCATCCTGTGACTTTGCGATGTCGACCATCACATTAGCAGCAGGAAAAACGATGTCGAGCAACTTCAAGATAGTCGCACCATCATTTGAGATTGTGGTTTTACCTAAAAACACCTAATAATGACTGCATAAACGAAGAATGTCGGGAACCCGATTTGCAATATGGTAATTCGTATATCTAAAAAAACAAAGTAATTAGTAGATTAGTTTTCGAAAAAAGTCTTTTTCACTTCTTGTTATGGTTTGAAGAAAAAGATGGGTACAGCAATAAAGTCAATACGGTACTGCAATAAAGTCGAACAGATCTGTTTTAGTGAATGTTAGCCTAAAAGCCACAGAAATGCTGAGCCAAAATATGCTTTAACAACGGCATCCCAACAGGATACAAAACAGATATACAAAATTCACCTTTGCTGTCGACAATCAGCTTGTCCAAACCGCGAGGACCCAAGGTTGTTCGAATACTGTCCGCGACTACCTAAATTACCTAATTTTATATGACAATGGTAAAGCGTAAAGTCCTCAAAGTCATGAAGACCGCCCAAAAAATTAAACCACGATAAATTTGCAAATAAAAATTGAAAATTTAGAACCTAATTCAATAAGAAATGCTCACCTGACATGCATTGATATTGGAGATTATCTGCTGCTTTCCTTGCTTATTTTCAGTACCCTCCTTGAGCAGAATAATCGGTGGTCGCATCATTTTGCCAAGTTTACAGTCTAAAAATGGATTTTAGCATTGAAAAAGGAGAATAATGAAGCGCTAAACGGTTGCGTTATAAGAAGTTTCGACAGACAAACTTAGACAAGAAAGAAGACTGAAGAAATAGAGAGAAATGGAGATTTCAAGCTTTGGAATTCACATTCTAGAATTCTTGCTGAATAGGAGCCCTTTAATATGTATTAGAGCGCGAAATCTCCGCGAGCTGCAACGTAAGCTGACCACTTTGTGATACGCTGTAATAGTCAGCAGAATCAGTCCAATCGTACAAAGTTTCGAAATAACTACACTTCTTCACCCACTTTTGTACAAAAAAAGTGAATTTATTGGAAGCTGGAGACTTATATGAAGAGTAGGCGAATGTCGCGCATAATGTGATTACACAAAATGGACAACTGACTCGTATAAAGACCGAATGACTGACTCGTATATAGAATGACCAATCTGAGCAGCGAAAAAGGATTGAAGCGAAACAAAAAAAGCTGGGAAGTTCATGCTGGTTTTCTGCGCTGCTTGAAGCAACTCTCTGCTTTGGTAAAATCAAAATCACAACATTACTCTGAAATGATATGGACCTTATGTCACATGGTCCGCTCCCCAATTCAAGCTACTCTTGCTCTGCGTCTCTGACTTGCGGCGCGCACTGCTTAGCAACATACAGCAAGTTTGAAAATGCCGTTGAGTCGAAGAAAGAACATGAAGGATATGCAAGCGCTTATGATTTTCAATACGAGAAGTAGTTCTTACCATGCAGAACGATATATCACAAAATTTCATTAGCGGTCAAAATGATCTCTCGAGCTTGTCCTGCTGAATTTCATAGATCGCCAATTGTTCCTAACTGCATTTTCGGATGTTATCTATCGGATGTTGCTCAGCTGTGTCACAAACAACACGGTTGCCTCCCATTCGAACAACAGTCATCGATTGCTGGCTCCTACATTTATGCTACTTATCTTATACCGCTTTTATGAATTTTCAAAATTTTGCTGAAAAATGTTTGTTTCAGAAGTCAGATTAGTAATCTCGATGTACATATAAATATGGGCAATTTATTCGAGTTGAATGTTTTTGAAGAGCTGTTAATAAAAATAAGCCACTGCCAGCAGCGAAGAGCATCATTCTGAGCCTAGGTATATCAGTTCATTGAGTCCTTCCTAAATTTCATCTATAAGCCATTTCTAATAGGGTAACGGGATAAACTGCTTTATCGTCCAGGATCTTCTTTGATATACCTTTGTGAGCTATATTCAAAAACATGCTTGACGCATTATTCAATATTTCAAGTGAAAGATTGAGATAAAAATGAAAACATTGCATTAGCCAAACTTTTCTGAAAACTCTTTATTCTTCAGATTCTTTCCACGTCTTGTTTTGTTCTTGACATTCTCCCTTCTCGCAGAAAAATCGCAAAATTTTGTACACTGATAATCCTGAGATGAATTTACTTCCGTCTATCTCTATCCCCATTTCGATGTGCGCTCATCTAATTTCCTTCCCAGAAACAGTTTTTATTTGAATGAGGCTAGAGCTGAGACCTCATTAAGGCAGTCTCGGCAAAGCTGTGCATCTCTCTTCTGACGGCTAAACAGTCGGAAAGTGGTTTTTGCCACAATGTGTATAAGCTTTCGCCTGGCTTTCCTCCGTTTATTCTTCTTTGTTTACAAAAATGTCGCGCTGGTTTTCTCTTGAATTTTTTATTTCTAACAAAAAGTGGCAACCTCTGCGCGGAACTGTGTAAAACCTTGCCAACACGTTCTCAGCAGTGTTGCTCTGAAGGAGCATAATAAACTCAGATGGCTGTAGGGTACATTCTTTCTTGTAGTGTAAAATGTCAACGATGATAGCAAATTTGTAGATATGTGGTCCTAGAAAACAAATCATCTCATCCAAAGTTGTTAGCTAATCTCAAAAAAATTAATATTTCCAGCTTGCAATACCTTTAAGATTGGTTTTGTGAAAATGCAATCAAATTGCTCAGAGATCGCCATTGCGAGCATATTTGGGACATGACCATACTTAAGGAATTAAAAAAAAGCTGCAAATACCATAGAATTTGTACCAGTCCATTTATGAGCTTATTTGACTTGTACAACCACTACTGATGAGAAACTTGCAGTAGGAAAATTATTAAAAAGCTGAGGTTAGTTTTGAATTTGCTGTTATATTGAAAATTCTCTTACTTTATGTGGAAGTAGAGACTCGTTATTATATTCTCGGAACAATCAAACTCAGCAACAATTAACTGACAATTGTCAACTTTTTCTATAATACTTCGATCACAAGTCAAATCGTTTTTGTAGCCAAACTTCGATAACGCTATTTGACATCTAACATTGATAATTTGGAATTAGAAATCAGAAAATCACAAATTAGAAAATTATTTGTTTTCGTATTGATGCAGTTCATGTACCAGGGGCCACATTCAAGGTAATTCTTTGTCGTATTCATTTTGTGTAACTGCACCATTTTTACGATATTAGAGCAGGCAATTGTGTAGTTACCAATGGATACAAAATAACATAAAACGAATAGTACTACGAAAGCAAGTGCAAAAAATGGTTTATCAATGCAAAATTGGGAATTGGTGCATTACGTAATTGAGCGCTCAAGGCAGGAAATATGTTGCTATGATTGCGGCAAATAAAATTAAAAATTGCAAAATGGAGCGTTGTTTCAGAGCTGGAACCTGAGCTCGCTCCTTATCTCCTCATTTTGTAGCTTTTCACTAGATTCACTCAGATGAGACCACAGCGAGCTTCTTCTCAGAGCCCTTCACTCTCTCCCTCTGCCTCCATCTATCGACTGGCAACGCCCCCCATTTTCAACATTCGCTACTTTCGCTCTGCGTTCCGAGCTCATTCACACCAGCTGTCGCCATCGCTACTCTCGCTTTCCGAGTAATTATATGTCTCATCAATATCTACCCCGTGCTACTATTACTGTTTGAAAAGTTTTCTGGCGCTTTCTGGCGGGGTTCCCCTTATTCTTAGCGAATAATTTACACATATAAAGATAAAGCTCATTGGGACGAAAGCAGTAAACACAGTGGCTTGCGTGTATTTCTTAGCGCATATATATACGCGACACTCAAATAACGAAACCATTTTTTCATTTTTCATTTTTTGTCTAGTTTCTACTATGGGCAAATGGAAACATTCTAAGAGCCTCCTCATGCGTCTCACTTGAATTAGAGTTTTTTTGTACTGGTAAAAAAAATCCAGGTATAAAAAGTATCTGCATTTAGACAGTCATAATTTTTCAGCTGGCCTCAAGAGATTAGTGCAGAATACGTGTATTTTAGTGGCTTATGTGGGCGCGACCAGAACTCGGTTAGAGAATCATGAGACTTTTGTTGTTTTTTCCACTTCATGTTTTGTCCTTAGTGATCTGATATTATGACGTTCGCACTGAAAAATACATGAAATTGTTTGAAAAAAAACTCCTAAGTTGTAATGCTAGTCAAGTGAATCTTTTTCATTATCCTTTTATTTGAGATGAGAACTAGTGTTCCGTTACTTGATGATTTGTAATAAAAAAATTGAATCTATTCGCAGTAGGTTGGATTTTTAAAGAAGTTTTGAGTCTTCTTGTTTTATAACCAGCAAACAGGAATGTTTCTATTTACTATCAAGAATCTCCAGAAAGCATTTCCCGACGACTGAGTAGTTGATGGTGATAGAACCCTATATCGATTTAGAATGAATTACATTTCTCGTAGCCGCTTGCTATCCCTAATATACTTTCCTTCGAAGAATTTGAGAGAAATTTTGAGTGAAATACAGGGTGTCCCAAAAGTAAGTACACACTTTTCGATTGTCAATATCTCTCTTTCCATTGTGTCTTTTTCTTCCATTTGAGTACCATTCTGTAGAGAAGGCTTCAGCTTAGATTTGAACTATCGAGCAAATCTCCGATAGCCCTTCATTACTGTAGGATTACGGTACGAACTTCGACAAGGATTTTAGCCCATTGGAGGCCATATTCTGCCTCGGAACAAAACCAAACAAGCCAAAAAATTCTTATACTACGACAGTGGGAGCCGCTGATTTCGAATTTGAAATTTCCATTTTACTGTGATGCTTCTTTCCTAACAAGGGAAAGATAGTTGGATGCCGCGGCCATTCCCAATGATTTGTATACCAAAAAATGCGCCTTCGAATGCAGATTCTGAATCTGTGCTCGAAATCTGCGAAACGATCTTTAGAAGAAAGTTATGAACTTTTTTCCTTGAAAATTTAGCCTACTTTTGGATAGTAAAAATCGCCAGATTCGATCTAGCCTACCGTTTGATGCTTGAAGAAAATTTTAGACGTAATAATATTTATTAAGACTATCTGGATCATACTCAGCATTTGGAAAGGAGAGAAAATTTTTTTATTGATGATTTTGACCCTCCGCAGGAATGCAATTTTTTTAATGAAAAAAATCATAACTCCATTCAGATTATCGTTTCGCAGATATGAAAGACAGTCTACGAACCAGCATTCAAAAGCGCATTTTTTGGTATAAAAATCATTATGAATGGCTACGGCATCCAAGTATCCTTCCTCTGTAAGTTATCCCCGCTAAATCGTAATAACTCAATTCCCAGCATTTGTCAGAAATGTAATTAAACCGTCAAAAAAGCTGAGAACACTTGTAAAAAGTTGTGTGTTGAAATCAGCGTGCGCGAAAACCCTAGTAGACAATTTTTCAGATTTTTTGCAGAAAATTTTGTCAGATGGCATATTTATGGTTCCACATGCTGGAAGTTCTTATCGTAATCCTACAGTAACGAAGAGAGACCGGTGATTCGATCGATACTGTAAATTTAAGCTGAACCCCCCTCTACAGAATGGTACTTGAATGGCAAAAGAAGACCCATTGGGAAGAGAGATATTGACGATTGAAAAGTGTGTACTTACTTTTGGGACACCCTGTATTTATCAAATTTCTGGAGAAAAAAATGGTAAATAAATTTCGCTGAACTGTACCAAAACTTGACGCATTATACTGTTGTGATGTATGGTACTATCCCATCACTTTCACTTTCTCACTTAAATGGCGAAAAACTTTGCTTTCAGATGTTCGATGGACTTCGCTTTGTAGTCGCTACGAGGAAACATGCTGAGGATATCGAAAAATTTATGTTTTCTGATTTCGGCATCAATGAACCTATCACACGCTCGTTAGGTTGGTTGAAGATATATCTGAATAACTAACTACATATAAATACTCTAAACATTCAGCTGCAACACCGACTGATTTGCGGGATTTCTTTCATGATCTAGCCGAATCTGGTTATTCCAATGAAAAATATTCCACCATTGTCTATGATAATGAAAGGTAGGTGTATCGTCGCTTTTGTCATTTTTTTTGAACTAGGAAAAATAAAAGCTAAAAAAATAAAAGCGTTAAAAACTCCAAAGTATAAGGATTAAGGTACAATTGTCGTACGCAATTGAGATCAAATCTGTGATTTGGATAATTACTACCCTTCGTTTCCTTTTGCCCTTAAACGAATTCATAGAATTTTCTCAAAACTCCTGGAAACTGTAACCTTGATTGAGAGGAAAACCAGCAAACATGAACTTTTGAGACCTGCGCAGCATGTACAATTTGGATCAACATGCAAGCCCAAGAATATTGCAAAAAATTAGTAAATTAATCAAATTATTTTTAATGTTTGAAAGTATGGTGATTGTGTAACTCAAGATTAATATAGTAATTAAACTGTTAATTTAGTTTCAGTATCTTAAGATAACTTTGACTCGAACTGGTCATAGACTTCCTTGGAGTTTAAGCTACTCAAAACAAACTATACTAGTGTTGTTTGTTGTAATGTTAGTGAATGTCTCAATAGTGCGGCATTCTTCTCCAATATTGGTTGCTGCTGCTCAAAACTTTGGTAAATTGTATTGCAAGATTTATTGCACCACTTTATGATCACATGAGCGAAGCAAATGCTTACTATCTCATGATTGCTAGAGATTGATGCACTTCCAAAAGTAGAGAGTAAGGTAAAGTTCACCAACAAAAAAAATTTAGAGACATGGATACTCATTTTTGTATACATATATAATAGATTGTTACCGTAATCTCCAAGAAATCTTGCATTTTAAACGGCCACAATTATCTCAATCATGCTTGATATCTTACGTTTGGAAATGTTTCAGGACCACATAGCTTGATTTTTTTTTAGCATAGAGCGCTATAATCCTACAGTAGTAGTACAGTTAGACGAAACATATGTGGTCTATTTTTATTCAACAACTTTCATAAAATTTTATGAGAACCGACAAAAATTGTCACAATAATTACAATTTCTCTGACATGGTCAACCTCTAGAAGTTTAGGCTGATTGCCGTATGTTTATGCTCCGTAAGCCAAAGTAAGGATATCGCCGAAAGTCCTCCACAATTCGATCCAGAAACACACGATTACGCAGGAGGTTGCTGAAGAATTTATTTGAGCTTAAAAATCAGATAATGCCAAAATTTTCTAGAAATTAGTCAAGGCCCATACAAACAACACAAAGCGAATCAATTGATCGCATTCGTCACTGCCCTGGAGGAAAAACAGGGGTTCCTACTTGGAAGCGGCAGCAAAGTGTTCAAAGTCGACGTAATTGCCGTTAATAACGACTACAGAGGGTTGGTGGGAGTATCCATTCACTGTTTTCAAACTTCTAAATGGGTTCCTTATTTCAGAAAAGGTTTAGGTAAGGAGCTGACTCGGCGGGCAGTAGAGACAGCGAAGAGTGCAGGATGTAATTGGGTCGCAACTGCAGCCACTGCATCGGCGTCTCAAGGAGTATTTTCACGGGTAAATCAGATGCGGAGCTGAAAATAATAATGATAAAAATTTTTCAGTTAGGCTTCGAATCTCTCTACGAAATTCCTTATAACAAATTTCGTGAAAATGGAGTGGCTGTGTTTCAAAATCTACATGATGGATGTCAAAGTGGCAAATTTATGGCTTTACGGGTAACATGATGTAAAAAAATAAATTATTATCAACGCGAGTTGTTCTACAAGTTACACATCCGTTGCAAAGGTCTAACAACGAAACCACCATTTGACTTTAACTATTCTTGATTCATTGACCGCACAGACTGGACATCAGTGCGGAGCACTCGCCGCGAGCTAAAACGCTTGTCTCAGTACAGATTCACCATTGTACAAATCGTGGTCTCGCAACATTTTAGCCACACCGCGCGTGGTCAGCAGAGTTTGAGCAGTTTGTGCGGTCAACGAATCGACGATAGATTCTGATTCATTTTGCTCTCCAGAGGCCGTATTCGTCAATGGACCTTAGGTCTTGGGCATGGCTCACGCGATTTCACTAGCGACGCAATTTGACAATAATTGTCCATAACTCATCGTCAAGAGTTTCTAAATGCACGGAAGATAGGGTATTTTGTCAACCTGCGGAAGTTCTATTAGGTTGGTGCAAAAGGAGTGGCCGGTTTTCCAAGCCTTTTTTTCAGGGCAACTTTTCCCCATCAATTCTTCTTCTTTACAATAGATGTAGTATACTTCGCGATGCTGTTTTCATGCTCTATCTAACGGTGCTTAAAACGGGCTCTCATCATCATTTCTTGTAAAGTTACTGCTTCAAATAACCGCATCCAAATTTAGAATTTCATTGCATTCACTTTTCCGGCCAGAATTTAAGCGCGTATCAATGGGATTTCTTCGAAAATTTAGCTCTTGTATGTAATAGAAATTGTCTACATTATGTGTACTTAACTGCATTCTTTGAAGTTATCCAGACTGAGATATCGGCGTCCAAACATGAGTAGCTGTTGCGGTCATTTTATGACCCATAATTTTCTTCTGAGGAAGTCAGTCGTCGAAGCTTTGCTCAATTCTGTAAGCGTAGGGCTAGGACACTTATTAACAATTTTTGCAAAAACATCCAGCTGTTCAGTACGTAAAATCAGAAAATTCTATATTCCGGACTTTGAGGCACAGTGAAAAAACGTTGAAAAAACTGAGAAATTTTAAATTTCAATTTTTCTCTTTTTCGCAAACTTTTTTGTCCGAATTCTTTTTATTGCATTTTGTACTACTGGCTCGTGGCTACAAGATAGGCCACTTATCATTTATACTAAGAAACTTTGAAGGAAGTTATGAATTGTCAAAAACAAAATTCTAGCAGAAGAACCTTCTTTGTCTTTTAGTCCGTATTTCTCTTCCCTTTTATGGTTTGAGTATAAATAAGTATGCGCTGTATTGCGAAAGATTTGCTGCTTTTGAGGGTCTTTACCGCATTCAGAAATGTGGATTCTTTGGAAAGTTATAGCACGTCAAATTGAGAATTCGCAAATTGGCGGTCGAATTAGCGTTTAATGCTGTGAAGAATGTATAAATCAGCGGCATACCCGGCTTCGCACGAGCCTTTCAATACCTTAGGTAAAGGTCACCATTCCTATTTCTGTACAACATGCCCTGTTCCGGTAGTCAACATTACCTACACCTCTGCGCCAACTCTCAGCATCATAGCCCGATGTATTCAGAAAATGGATGAAATCAAGGTCGATCGATAACGCCTAGCTCGAAGCGTTGTGTGCGAAGTTTGGTACGGATCGATTAGAAATATTTCCTATTTGGGGGAAACTACGATATTTGATAAGTCTATGTAGCTTAAGAATTTTGTATGAGTTGGCTGACTGACTGGAAATTGTCTGCTACTCTATGTGTCGTCAACAAATGATACAAAAATGGGAGCTTGGAATTATTCTGCTTCATAAGTGTCGAATATTGTTGTGGCGAACAAGTTGTTAGGTGGTCCTTTTATTGTTATTTTATTTATTTTTTACCACCTAACAACCTGTTCGGCACAACAATATTCGACACTTACGAACATGCCCAAGTTTAATGACTACGGAACATGGAAATTAATCTGCTTCAATCTGCTGACCAACTTATCGTTCATTCAAGCAGACTTTTCGACACTAATCCAGACTTCATTCGACTTTCATTGTGCCCAATATCCTCACTTTGCAGCAGATTGGTAAAGCGTGGTATCGAAGAATTGCATCTGTACAATCTTTCGATATAATGACTGTGACATTATCAAAAATCCTCTTTCTCACTTTAGAAAAATCGGATTGTTCCTTCAAGCCATGGACGAGCTTTCGATATGAGAGAGTTTTGTGGCCAAGTTTTTTCAGACGCTCCTCATAATTAGGAAGTGACTGGGGATAATTTGGACTAGAAAAGCAGCGGTAAAAAAAGTAATCGTGTAAAAACTTTCTGAACGTTCTCCAGAGATTATTATGCTTCACCGGAAAGGGGCTCCACACCTGATTCGCATACTCCAGAATAGAAATAACAAAGGATTCATAAAGTTTCAAAAGTATTGTGGGGTCGTCAATTTCGTATTACGATATACAGGGTGTCCCAAAAGGATGTGCCTGCTGTTTGATTGTCAGTAACTCTCTTGTAATGAACTCTTTAGATAAGCTTTGAGTACCAGCTTGTGGAGCTGGCTTCAACTTAGATTTTCGGTGTGGAACGGATTAATGACTGTTCTTCATTACTGTCGGATTACGGTAGGAACGTTGAAAAGGGTTTTGAGCCCTGAAGGGTCATATTTTGCCTCAGAAGGAAAACAAAACAATCCAAAAACTCTTACACTGGGCTAATTTGAGTTGTTGATTCTGAATATGAAGTCCGCAGGATCTTATAATGCTTTAATAAAAAGTTATGCGAGTAAGCGGTAGCGGCCGTTTTTGGAATGCTCTGAAAATCTGCGTTTACACCGTTTAGAAAACTTCGCAATCTTGTACAGAATTGAGTGTTGAGCTCATTGTCCACGAAAACCTTATTATACAAATTCTTGCACTTTTTTGAAAATTTTTGAAAAGGCAGCTTTGTTACAGTGACACCATATGCTTGGAATTTCTACCGTAATGCTACAGTAACAAAAAGTGATCGGTGGTGATCCGGGCTATACTGTAAATTTAAGTTAAAGCCAGCTCTACAAATTGAAGCTTCGCGTAAGACTTAATACAAGAAAGTTATTAATAATCAAACAGTAGGCACATCTTTTTGGGGCATCCTGTATGAGGTAAGTGATAGAAATTGCGCGGGAGGTAATGGCTGAGATCTGTAGGTTTGTTTTTTTTCAGAGAGCGATTAAATATGAATCCTGAGTCTTTGACGTACGTTTTTGTGATTAATGTTTCGCCAGCATGTTTGTAGTTGAAGTCATCATCTATGGTAATACTAATGTGGAATAAAGAACTTTTGCTCACGTTTACAGAAACGTCCCAAATTTTGCACCACTCAACCACGTGGTCGATGGCACGTTTTAGTGCATTTTGGACTATTTAGCGGTTTTCATTATGATAGATACCAAAAATTTTGATAGCGTCTGCATACATCGCACATGCACCGCTGGGTGAGTTTTAAGTTTGGGTAAGCCAGCCGTGTAGATGTTAAACAGGAGAGGTGATAGTGCTTCTTCCTGGGGAAGCCCACTTATGCATGGGGAACGCTCAGAATGTTTCAGACCAACGCGAACAGTGATTTTTCGATCTCAAAGATAAAATTTGAACCATTTTAATAGATCTCCTCTGATGCATAATGAACGAGTTTACACAGCAATTTCTCATGGCTTATGCGTCGAAGCTTTTGATAAATCGAATATATCACATCTACTTCCATATTGTCAAGAACAGCATTGATCCATGAATGCAGTCAAGTAGTTGAGCGACCGTGGATGCACACTATTGAACCCGTGTTGCTCAGTGGCCGTATTCATCAACGAAAACCCGGTGGGTTCCGGAACCCAGTTTAGTGCTTTTGATGAATATCGATGTAGAATCGATATTCATCAAAACCGCTAAATGGGTTTCGGAACCCACTGGGTTGTTCGTTGATGAATACGGCCACAGGTGGTATAAGCTTGAACTTTTCAAATCAGTCGAGGAGTTTGTCGCGTATTATTTTTTCAAGTACCTTACATGATACAGAATTTATGTTTATAGGTCTGAATTCGGTCACAAAACGCGGATTACTCACTTTGATAACAGGAGTGACAATGGCTTCTTTCCAGACTACTGGCACTTGTTTGCAGATGAAACAGATATTAAAAATGTGAGAAAGCGGAATTAAAAGTTCTTTCGCGCATTTCTTGAACAGAATTTGTGGGATTCCATCAAAAGGCTCAAACGTTGAGGGTTGTAATTTTTTTAGGATGCGTTCGACTGTACAAGGCGTGATCACAGGAGCTGTACATGTATGGCATAGAGGAGGTCCAAAAGATTTGGGAGTTCGTAGAAAACTCGTGCTCGCAAAAAATTTGGATAGTGCTTGCGCCTTGTCTTGATCCTCTAGGTAGGTAGCACCCGAGGAATCTTCTAAGGCTCCATATCTTTTGGCAAATATTTTATTATGGATGTAAGAGAAGAGGTTCTTGGAGTACTTAGAGGAAGCCAAGGTTTTTCATAATTTGAAAAGAACTTCTTAAGAGGTAGGTGATGTCGGTACAAACTTTCGTGTGCAATGGACTATCATATACTAAGAAGTCCTGAAAAGTCTTTCCTTCTGGAGAATGAGTAATTGTATATGGCCAGGGTGATTAAGGTATCCAATTTTATGAGTTTCGAATGGAGTGTATGCTGCCGTCAGTTTGTACATGATACTGCAGAATCTATAGTACACATCGGAAGGTTCTATATACTGGTCAAAGCAATTTTCACAATCGATATTACTTAACTCTAGTTTCATAGCATCAAAGTCAGTCTTAGAGAAACGAGGATGGGATGAATGTACTTTTTGGGATGTTGAAGTTATAGCGAAGCTCGATTACATTATGATCAGACGTTCCAAAAGGTGCAGAAACCGACAGCATATCAATGGATAAGTATTTCATATCATATCATATCATATCCAAAAATCCTTATCTATGAACTTTTGGCATTTTTTACCATTAATGAAACTAATCTTTATCAATCGCTATCACATTACTTCCAAAGCTTCGCGTG